GTATTGTATTGTATTGTATTGTATTGTATTGTATTGTATTGTATTGTATTGTATTGTATTGTATTGTATTGTATTGTATTGTATTGTATTGTATTTAATTATATTTATACACGGTAACCTATCAATTGATATTGATTTTCATAGGGCCGTGTATTATTTACAAGTAAGAGAATAGAATTATAATATTCAGTTACAATTAATCGTTTTGATGCTGATTAGGTTCAATCTGAGCTTATCTTGATTGTCAATTCTGTTTTTGAATAGATGGAGGGTTAGTGTCGTACCTTACTATATGTGACTACTCACCCTCCAGCTATTCAAAAACAACATTAACACTCAAGAAAAGCTCAGATTGAACCTCCACTAGCCTCATTGAGTGTGAGTGAGCTTTTAGCATACGGGCGTTAGTCCCCATATAACTAAAACTTCTCTTCATAGAGTTCGTATTTGGTTTTGACAATCTTAGAATTTGCCATTACTTAAATTATAATTAAAATTGATGCGCTTTTCAAAAAGGCTACCTATTATCTTCGGATCATCATTATCATTCATAACATTACTCGTACATTTTTTCATGAGATTTTGTCACCTTTCATCCAGTGTTTTGGAGCCTAACTAGTAACTTAAGTGTATTAAATATTTGTTTTGAATGAATGAATGAATGAATGAATGAATGAATGAATGAATGAATGAATGAATGAATGAATGAATGAATGAATGAATGATCAGATAAAAATTCCTTTTTGTAACAAACCTGAACCTTTTTGTAACATGAAATGTTACAAAAAGGACTCTAAAACTCCTTTTTGTAACATGCAGTACTTTTGGTAACATAGAGTTTTACTTTTTGTAACATGGAGTGTTCCTTTTGGTAACATCTTGTCCTTTTTGTAACATTGAGCGTTCCTTTTGGTAACATTTCGTCCTTTTAGTAACATGGAGCGTTCCTTTTGGTAACATTATGTCCCTTTTGTAACATTGGTTGTTCTTGTTTATAACATTGTGTCCTGTCTGTTTGTTTGTTTGTTTGTTTGTTTGTTTGTTTGTTTGTTTGTTTGTTTGTTTGTTTGTTTGTTTGTTTGTTTGTTTGTTTGTTTGTTTGTTTGTTTGTTTGTTTGTTTGTTTGTTTGTTTGTTTGTTTGTTTGTTTGTTTGTTTGTTTGTTTGTTTGTTTGTTTGTTTGTTTGTTTGTTTGTTTGTTTGTTTGTTTGTTTGTTTGTTTGTTTCTTTGTTTGTTTGTTTGTTTGTTTGTTTGTTTGTTTGTTTGTTTGTTTGTTTGTTTGTTTGTTTGTTTGTTTGTTTGTTTGTTTGTTTGTTTGTTTGTTTGTTTGTTTGTTTGTTTGTTTGTTTGTTTGTTTGTTTGTTTGTTTGTTTGTTTGTTTTTTGTTTGTTTGTTTGTTTGTTTGTTTGTTTGTTTGTTTGTTTGTTTCTTTGTTTGTTTGTTTGTTTGTTTGTTTGTTTGTTTGTTTGTTTGTTTGTTTGTTTGTTTGTTTGTTTGTTTGTTTGTTTGTTTGTTTGTTTGTTTGTTTGTTTGTTTGTTTGTTTGTTTGTTGGTCTGTAATCAGAATATCTCAAAAAGCAGTGAACAGATTTTCACAAAAATTTGTTGAAGGAATACACATGTTCGAGTACCCTGGATTCCAGAGCCTTCGACAGTAAATAACTGATAAATTGAAATGTCGCGAAGGCTCTGGTTCAACGAGGCGATTCTTTGATTAAACCGCGCCAATCACAAAACAGAATTAGTGGTTTTACTGTACTGAAACCACTAATTCAGTTTTGTGATTGGCGCGGTTTAATCAAAGAATCGCCCCGTTGAACCAGAGCCTTCGCGACATTTCAATTTATTATTTACTGTCGAAAGCTCTGGAATCCAGGGTAATGTTCGAGGGACCAACTGGTTAAATTTTGTTCAATTTGGATGAAGGATGGATAAGCATTTACAAAAATTTCCCTTGCTGTCCAAGCCGAAACTAGATGAACATAAATTGTATTTTAAGAAAATACAAAATATAAATTGTATAATTTATGCATGATATATGCTTAATTCCTGGTGCATTTTTCGAGTTCCCTCTAGTTTGTAATGTTTATAGGACTTACGGAGATTAGTCAGTTGTGTAAAAGAGCGAGGGGGACACTGGGTGGGTGAGGGGTTAGCTGAGCCCCCTTCCGCAAGGTATGGGGGCGGGGCGAGCCCCCTACAATATTTTACAAGAGTGCTTACTTACACACCATCAAAAGCAATAATAGTGATTAATTAGGCAACGTAATTTAGTAGACACTGACTCCAAAACTAAAAGCTGGCCCTATATATTGCCAATTTTCCCCGATAGGTTTCATTCACCAAGCATCAGTTACGTTTATTCCAATAAAGATGAGGTATTGTTCATGTGTTGGGGGGGATGAGGTATTGTTCATGTCTTGGAAACATGCTTGTCCAGAGAGCCCATACTCAGTTTATGAATTTACAGTAGTTCTACGGCAGTGGATCTAACTACGACGGTATCACACAGGACAACTTTTAAAGTGCATATGACATAAAACTGTTTATGATTGCGTTTATATATTTTATTTTCCATGTTTCGTTGTTATTTTACTAGTTTCCAATTATTAACAATGGAGCGCCCAGTTCTACCTCATCGTTTGTATTTCGCAAAATCACTTGGACCAAGTAGCACGTATTTATTTCTCCTTCAGTGGTAATCATATATTCCTTATACTAAATAATATTTCGTTTGATAACAACAGAAATGTAAAACCTTCTTTAATATTTCATTACACGTAAATGACGTCAATATGACATCACGTTGGTTGAAAATATCTCAACAACCAAACATGGAAATGAATGAAATGAAAATCTACAAAAGACGTTACAATAAAGTTCTAAGAGTCCTTCATCTAAGACAATAAACAGTGTTGTATCATATTGACTTTAAAAATCCGGATTACGTAGGCGAAATGATTTCCGTTGCAAAGTTTCGTTGAACGCTAGCGTCACTTTTAAATGCAGTGCTAAATTGTATTTTTGTGATTCAAACATTTAAATAATGAAAACCGTTAAGGTTATGTTATGTATACCCACACTGTTTTCGATAAACTTTGACCAATAGCTCGTCAGGTTGCAAGCAATCCCTTGTGGCTAAAGAACGCTGTTGCATGCATGGTAGGCAATTAGCTACATTGAGAATATTGCCATGTAGGCAATAGTTCCAATGTAATGTTCTTTTCTGTCCCCATGAAATCTACGCCAACTGCGTAGTTGAATTTTAATGTGGATGCACAATTGCATGCATTACGCATTATGGTTCCTCTACTAAGAAACAATGAATACAACACACTCCGTTTGCAAATGTTAATAAATTGATGTATTTTTATACATACGAACGTTAAGAAGCAGAACAGCATTTTAATCGTGAAAATAATAATGTTTAACACTTAACATAATGCTCACAATATTAACAAATATAGTACCTTATTAAAAATAGATACACAAACACGTAAAGTATTTTTTATCAATACCCCCATTTAATAAAGTCCTCTATAACGAAAGTATACTGTTTCGACCAACTTTGAGTAAAACATCCATCTTGACACTCAATATTTGAGAAAAGGGGAGAAATACAGTGAAACCTTTAATTACTTACAAACTCAACTTTAGTCTGTATAAAGTTAACTGATGAGGAATTAATATTGAAAATGAGAAAAAAGTTGGATGTAGTTTTCATTTGTCCTTCTCAAATATTAGATCTAAAGATGAGTTGTTTGTAAAGTTATTTGTTTGGTTCAGTTACGGATTAGTGGTTATACCAAATAGTTTAGGTCAGGTTATACGACCTCTACTCCCAGTGGTACACGTTTATCAAATATATACATGCAAACGTAAAGTACATAGCTTTATAAACCATAGCAATGTCTGCGCAACAATTAACTATATAACTTGAAATGATAAACTGCGAATTATCTTTCGTATTCTTGATAGCGGAAAACGTTTTATGAAACCGTTTATAGTTTTATCCCATATTAATAAATTTTCTCTTGTTTTGAACGTGCATGTTCTTATCTGTAATAACTATACAATCAGGTTACTATGTTCACTGAAGCAGAACACTTGGTTCTTATTAGCACGGTAGGTTATTATTACAAAAATAATAACCTGATTGTCTAACTGAAAATTTATTAAATCAGATAAAATGCATGAGCTTTTCGCCATTATTAAAAATAATAACCTCGTACCGAAAAGCCGATGCATTATCCTATTATATACTGAGCGGCATTTATTGCCGCGCGGCAATCTTTCTTTCGGTTCGCACCTTGTCTGCAAGTTGTAAAGGTGTACATTTTTTTAAAATATGTTTCAATTCTTTATGTTTTTCAATTTGAGAAGTGACGAAATCCCTTTTGATAGGTCTTTTGTTGGCAATCAATTCCTTGAAAAGTTCTTGGAATAAAGCAATTTCTTTTGCAGTTAAAATCGTACTTTTTCGCGTTGTTGTGGTTGTCGTAGATTCAGATGCTGATAGTTGAATACTTGGTGTGTACTCCATATCATCATTTTGTTGTTTTCTTCCACTCCTTGTCTTATCGACTGATAAACCAAGCCTTTCGCAACGTTGATCCGAAGTCTCCAATTCTTTTGGCAAAACAGCAGTGTCCTCTTTAGTCTTGAAAAAGGACCGGACCTTGTTACGAATAACCATTAAAGGCATATCGGAGAGCAGTGGATCTTTCTGTGAAATTTCTTTCACCTCGTGTATGGAAATCGAACAGTTTTCAATTTGTTTGGAAAATAGCTTTTTCAAAACTTGCTCCTCCTCATCACTCCACTTATGCCTGGATGATTGCTGCGAAGTATGCATGATTTGAGTCACTTGTCTTGATGCGTTTATGGCAGATTTCGCTTGTCTTCTAAGCAAGTAGTACTGGTCTGCTGTCGTCTTGTGGTGCTTCATAAGTGTAGCCAAGTCCTCGCGAATCTCGTCATTATACTCCTCAACAGCTGACACTACAGCTTTTCTAAATGCTGTCGCGCCGCCTGACGCTGCCTCTCTTCCGAATGTTTTTCCCCAACAGGAGTCGATTTGTCTACCAATGTGTGACGAAGTCATGCCTTTCTGACTCCATGTCAAGAAGACTGGGGATGCATTAGTCGTATCTACATCACCTAGCGCGTTACGACATTTGGAAATAAAAATTTCCGTCCATTTGAAAAGTGACAGCGAGAAAACGATGTGAGCAGGACCGTGCGTGGCGAACGTTTTATGTTTTTTCACGTTCACCAAATACTCCGAATCGTGGCGTTTGGCTGCTCTGAATTCTTCTAGAGTCATATTAGCTAAGGCGCCAGCCCTACTACCGTTGTTTATACACAGAATAGTTAGCAAGTAGTCCCGAACTGTTGTGTACTGTGTATGACTTAGCATGACATGTTCTGGAGATTCTTCAAATTCGCCGAGTATTTTGACCGCTTCTCTTGCCACATCAGAAGTGTCGAACTGCTTGACCTGTTCGGGTGTTCGTAAGTTAGAGATGTCTTCCATTCTTTTATCCCAAAAGCGAGTTTTCACCTGTTTTGCACACGACTTATTCCACATTTTCATTTGCTCACACAGGGTTTCGAAGATACCTGACGTACGGTCGATTCCCGGAATGTCAACCGGTTCACACTTTAGAAATGCGTAAAATCGATGCAGTGCGCCCAAATATGACTTCACTGTCCCAGGCTGGCGTGACTTCTCAAAAACTACTAACCACTTGTCGCGAAGAACACCTTTATCAAATAATTTGATTAACTTTCGATTTTCGGGATCGATGTAAGTTATAACGACTTGTATTTGCCTAGAGCACTGCTGAGCACAACGACTGTCCTTTCTCCCGCCATCTGGCCCTTGAAGCCATGACTCAAAGTCTTTAAAAATGGATTCAGATACATCATCCATGTTGGTTGAAACAGGATCATCATTAGGAAATAACTCTTCTTCACTTCCACCATTGAAATCACCGTTGCCCTTTGGAGGGTCCTTGTAAACAGGACTCTCGTTCAACTCCGATGATGATGATGCGCGACCCTGGTCCTGTATTGCAGTTCCCGTAATTGTAAAATCTTCATCGTCGTCATCGTCTGGATAGTCTTCGTCATCGTCCCCTTCGTCTTCTCTATCATTTCGAAATATGGAAGGATGTTCTTTACAATTTCCTGTCTTGCAACAGACTTTATATTTCTTCGCACTACTGCCGTCATCATTATCTTCCTCATCGTCCCATTCGTCTTCTGAATCATTTCGAAATATGGAAGGATGTTCTTTAACATTTGCCTTCTTACCACATTCTTTCTTCTTAATTGCAGGAGTGGGGGTGCCAAATACCTCCTCGTCACTTGAATAAACCTGATTATACAACCTCTCTTCCCGTTCGTTTTCCTGCTCTTTTTTAAGTTCCTTTCTCCACATTCTATATTCGTATGAAGAATCGGAGTCCTCAGACAGAGAATTGTCTGAAGAGATGACAATGGGGTCGTATTCGATTGCCTTTTCTAGGAGTCTTTTATATTCTTTGCTCCCACGAGTAGCTTTGTGTACATCGGTCAAGTGGTTATGGATCTTTATCACAACAGATTTACATTCATCGACAGAGCACATGTATTTCTTTTGTGTCTTATTATTTTCACGTTTCGATCGATTTTTCCGTAAACCAAATGTGCTTACCACGTTCAGCGCATCGTCCCTATTCCAGCCATGAGATAATCTCATATGTCGCGGAAGATGATAGACTTTGGATTTGCACGACGGAAATGGACATTTGTGCTTTACCCGAACGTATTTAGATCCAACTGTTGCTTGCTTTTTTACGCATTTTTTTCCTTGCTCACCAGACAGAGTTCCATTATTGTTCGAAACAGAGCTCTTACATGTAATTGCCTTCACGGCATCTTTACTCAATTGGATTCCTTCCATCATTGTTTCTTCATCATCTGCATCTTCTTTGTCATGGCCTTCTTCTACGATCGTTCTTTCCTCTACTGCAACTTCTTCGCGTTGGCCTTCATCCATCGTTCCTACAATAAACAAAATACCAATTTATTCAATATAAAACACACAAAGAACAGATAATATGCGACTAATAGACAGCGGATTTCATATGATATACAATTATAGATTAATATCAGTCTAATAATATAAGTGAATAACAACCAAAGTACACAAAATTCTGTGTAGTACACTTATCTAGCTTAACTAGAACTGAAATTACATTCAGAAAACCGTCTAAAATCCCATTAAAATGTTTAAGACCAGTAAACAATAAGACGTCACCCTAAACCACCCTGTAATTCAAGAACCACAGAACCCAATTACACCAAACTCTGGAAACAATTAAGCAATACATAGCAAAAGGGTGAGTCATGATCAAGTAAAACGAATACATTCTTTACACTAGTTAGACTTTGGCGCCTGTTTAAACAAGTTACTTTACAGTTTAAATACTATCAATTTGGGTTTTTCTCTGAAAAACAACACAAAGCCCCCTTAACTTAGCAATGCATGGTTGTACACATGTTAAACTCTACCAGCAGAGAGAATGAACATAGAGAAGTCGTTTTCTGTATGTTTCACTGATGTAGCATAAATAGAAGTAAAATTACATTCTGAAAACCGGTTAAAATCCCATAAAAATGTTTAAGACCAGTAAGCAATAAGACGTCACCCTAAACCACCCGGTAATCAATGAACCACTAACTCCAATTACACCAAACTCTGGAAACATATAAGGCATACATAGCAAAGGGTGCATCATGTTAAACGAATACACTTTTTGCAGAATTTAGACTTTGGCGCCAGTTTAATATACAAGCTACTTTACAGTTTAAATATCCTATCGATTTGGGGTTTTTCTCTGAAAAACAACACAAAACCCCCTTAACTTAGCAATACATAGTGGTACACATGTTGAACTCTACCAGCAGAGAGAGCCAACATAGACAAGTCGTTTGCTGTATGTTGTACTGCTGTAGCTTAAATAGAACTAAAATTACATTCTGAAAACCGGTTAAAATCCCATAAAAAGTTTAAGACATGTAAACAATAAGACGTCACCCTAAACCACCCTGTAATTCATGAACCGTTGACCCCAATCACTCCAAACTCTGGAAACGTTGAAGGCATATATAGCAAATAGTGCGTCATGTTAAACTGATAGATTCTTTACAGTATTTAGGCTTTGGCGCCTGTTTAAACAAGCTACCTTACAGTATAAATACTATTTTTGGGGGGTTTTTCTCTGAAAAACAACACAAAGCCCTTTAACTTAGCAATGTATGGTAGTACACATGTTGAACTCCACCAGCGAAGAGAGTGAACTTACACAAGTCGTTTGCTTTATGTTGTACTGCTGTAGCTTGAATAGAACTAAAATTTTATTCTGAAAACAGGTTAAAATCCCATAAAAATGTTTAAGACCAGTAAACAATAAGACGTCACCTTAAACTACCCTGTTATTCATGAACCACTGACCCCAATTACACCAAACTCTGCAAATATTTAAGGCATACATAGAAAATGGTGTGTCCAGTTAAACTAATAGATGCTTTATAGTATTTAGGCTTTGGCGCCTGTTTAAACAAGCAGCCTTACAGTATAAATACTATCAATTTGGGGGTTTTGTCTGAAAAACAACACAAAGCCCCCTTAACTTAGCAATGCATGGCGGTACACATGTTAAACTCTACCAGCAGAGAGAGCGAATATATGCAAGTCGTATGCTGTATGTTGCACTGCGGTAGCTTAAATTAAACTAAAATTACATTCTGAAAACCGATTAAAATCCCATAAAAATGTTTAAGACCCGTGAACAATAAGACGTCAACCTAAACCGCCCTGTAATTCATGAACCACCGACGCCAATTACACCAAACTCTGGAAACTTTGAAGGATACATAGCAAATGGTGTGTCAAGTTAAATTAATACACTTTTTACAGAATTTAGGCTTTGGCGCCTGTTTAAACAAGCTACCTTACAGTATAAATACTATCAATTTGGGGGTTAATTTTGTCTGAAAAACAACACGAAGCCCCCTTAACTTAGCAATGCATGGTGGTACACATGTTAAACTCTACCAGCAGAGAGACAGAACATAGACAAGTCGTTTGCTGTTTCTTGTACTGCTGGAGCTTAAATAGAACTAAAATTTTATTTTGAAAACCGATTAAAATCCCATAAAAATGTTTAAGACCTGTAAACAATAAGACGGCACCTTAAACCACCCGGTAATTAACGAACCACTAACTCCAATTACACCAAACTCTGGAAACATTTAAGGCATACATAGCAAAGGGTGCATCATGTTAAACGAATACACTTTTTGCAGAATTTAGACTTTGGCGCCAGTTTAATATGGAAGCTACTTTACAGTTTAAATATCCTATTGATTTGGGTTTTTTCTCTGAAAAACAACACAAAGCCCCCTTAACTTAGCAATACATGGTGGTACACATGTGGAACTCTACCAGCAGACAGAGCCAACATACACAAGTCGTTTGCTGTATGTTGTACTGCTGTAGCTTAAATAGAACCAAAATTACATTCTGAAAACCGGTCAAAATCCCATAAAAAGTTTAAGACCTGTAAACAATAAGACGTCACCCTAAACCACCCTGTAATTCATGAACCGTTGACCCCAATCACTCCAAACTCTGGAAACGTTGAAGGCATATATAGCAAATAGTGCGTCATGTTAAACTAATAGATTCTTTACAGTATTTAGGCTTTGGCGCCTGTTTAAACAAGCTGCCTTACAGTATAAATACTATCAATTTGGAGGTTTTCTCTTAAAAACAACACAAAGCCCACTTAACTTAGCATTGCATGGTGGTACACATGTCAAGCTCTACCAGCAGAGAGAGCGAGTATATACAAGTCGTTTCCTGTATGTTTCACTGATGTAGCGTAAATAGAACTAAAATTACATTCTGAAAACCGATTAAAATCCCATAAAAATGTTTAAGACCTGTGAACAATAAGACGTCACCCTAAACCACCCGGTAATGAATGAACCACTAAGTCCAATTACACCAAACTCTGAAAACAGTTAAGGCATACAAAGCAAAGGCTGCGTCATGTTAAACGAATACACTTTTTGCAGAATTTAGGCTTTCGCGCCTGTTTAATAAATAAGCTATCTGAAAACCGGTTAAAATCTATGGGATGTTTACAGTTTAAATACTATCAATTTGGTGTTTTTCTCTGAAAAACAACACAAAGCCCCCTTAACTTAGCAATGTATGGTAGTACACATGTTGAACTCCCACCAGCGAAGCGAGCGAACTTACATAGACAAGTCGTTTGCTCTATGTTGTATACTGGTGTAGCTTAAATAGAAGTAAAATAACATTCTGAAAACCGGTTAAAATCTATGGGATTTTACAGTTTAAATACTATCAATTTGGTGTTTTTCTCTGAAAAACAACACAAAGCCCCCTTAACTTAGCAATGTATGGTAGTACACATGTTGAACTCCACCAGGGAAGCGAGCGAACTTACACAAGTCGTTTGCTTTATGTTGTACTGCTGTAGCTTGAATAGAACTAAAATTTTATTCTGAAAACAGGTTAAAATCCCATAAAAATGTGTGAGACCAGTAAACAATAAGACGTCACCCTAAACCACCCGGTAATCAATGAACCACTAAGTCCAATTACACCAAACTCTGGAAACATTTAAGGCATACATAGCAAAGGGTGCGTCATGTTAAACGAATACACTTTTTGCAGAATTTAGGCTTTGGCGCCTGTTTAGTAAACAAGCTACTTTACAGTTTAAATACTATCAATTTGGGTTTTTCTCTGAAAAACAACACAAAGCCCCCTTAACTTAGCAATGTATGGTGGTACACATGTTGAACTCTACCAGCAGAGAGAGCGAACTTAGACAAGTCGTTTGCTTTATGTTGTACTGCTGTAGCTTGAATATAACTAAAATTTTATTCTGAAAACAGGTTAAAATCCCATAAAAATGTTTAAGACCAGTAAACAATAAGACGTCACCTTAAACTACCCTGTTATTCATGAACCACTGACCCCAATTACACCAAACTCTGCAAATATTTAAGGCATACATAGAAAATGGTGTGTCCAGTTAAACTAATAGATGCTTTATAGTATTTAGGCTTTGGCGCCTGTTTAAACAAGCAGCCTTACAGTATAAATACTATCAATTTGGGGGTTTTGTCTGAAAAACAACACAAAGCCCCCTTAACTTAGCAATGCATGGTGGTACACATGTTAAACTCTACCAGCAGAGAGAGCGAATATATGCAAGTCGTATGCTGTATGTTGCACTGCGGTAGCTTAAATTAAACTAAAATTACATTCTGAAAACCGATTAAAATCCCATAAAAATGTTTAAGACCCGTGAACAATAAGACGTCACCCTGAACCGCCCTGTAATTCATGAGCCACTGACGCCAATTACACCAAACTCTGGAAACTTTGAAGGCATACATAGCAAATGGTGTGTCAAGTTAAATTAATACACTTTTTACAGAATTTAGGCTTTGGCGCCTGTTTAAACAAGCTACCTTACAGTATAAATACTATCAATTTTTTTCTCTGAAAAACTTCACAAAGCCCCCTTAACTTAGCAATGCATGGTAGTACACATGTTAAACTCTACCAGTAGAGAGAGCGAACATAGGCAAGTCGTTTGCTGTATATGGCACTGCTGTAGCTTAAATAGATCTAAAATTACATTGTGAAAACCGGTTAAAATCCCATAAAAATGTGTGAGACCAGTAAACAATAAACGTCACCCTAAACCACCCTGTAATTCATGAACCACTAACCCCAATTACACCAAACTCTGGAAACGCTTAGGCCACTACAAGTTAATCTTTAGTTTCTGGTCCGGCCTTACCTTCGTTTACGACGCGGGCGGACGGGTGGTTAGGACTATAGGGAATAATTACTATTCTGGCTTTGCCCACATTTCTGTTGTCTTTCGTGTCCCTTTTCATGCGAATTGTATCAAAATGTTATGAAATTTTAGATAAATTGCATTTATATTATTTATAAATCGACATGTATGACAGATTACAAAGGATTTTACATATCAAAATGACCTTTTAATAGTCTAGTTTTTTTTTACCTCGTAATCTTGATAAGGCAGCGGTTTTTACCATTCAATACTACATTTTGCTAGGTCTTTTTAGTGGAGATTGAATATTTATCGTTCTATAAGTTAAACCCTTCGCGGAAATTTTCAAGAACTAGAAATTAATTGTAAATAACAAAATAGTCCTGAAATAATACTTTACGAACAAAGGACGCGGGCGGCGGACTAGAAACTAAAGATTAACTTGTAGTGGCCTTAAAGCGTACATAGCAAATGGTGCGTCAAGTTAAACTAATATACTTTTTGCAGTATTTATGCTTTGGCGCCTGTTTAAACAAGCTACCTTACAGTATAAATACTACTATCAATTTGGTTTTTTTTCTGTGAAAAACAACTCAACGCCCCCTTAACTTAGCAATGCATAGTGGTACACATGTTAAACTCTACCTGAAGATAGAGCGAACATATACAATCGTTTGCTGTATGTTATACTGCTGTAGTTTAACTAGAACTGAAATTACATTCAGAAAACCGGTTAAAATCCCATAAAAATATTTAAGACCAGTAAACAATAAGACGTCACCCTAAACCACCCTGTAATTCATGAAGCACTAACTCCAATTACACCAAACTCTGGAAACATTTAAGGCATACATAGCCAAGGGTGTGTCGTGTTAAACAAATACATTCTTTACAGTATTTAGGTTTTGGTGCCTGTTTAAATTAAACAAGCTACTTTACAGTATAAATACTGTTTTTTTTCTGTGAAAAATAACACAAAGCCCCCTTAATTTAACTTAGCATTGCTTGGTGGTACACATGTTAACCTCTTCCAACAGAGAGAGCGTTTGCTGTCGTTTGCTGTATGATGCATCGCCATGTCTTCCACAGGTAAGTTGGCTTTATGATGTTCATCAGAATAAATAAAAACTGTGTTTTTACTATATATGATACTATGTTTCAACAGGCGTTAATGGCCAAGTATAGCCTGAAAAATACCGTACATTAATTACAGGAACCATGCAGCATGTCTGCTTTTAGGTTTCCCAAAGGTTTGGTGCTATCTGGCGAAGACTTTCAAGAAATAGAGGGGGTTCTTTTGCTTAATTCCTATGGTACAGTTGTTTAAGCATTTTCAGTCATCATTAGCAGGTTTTCTGACTCTAACCTTTATGCTGCTTAAGCTATGCACTTGTTCTCACAGAAAAATACTTGCACGAGTGCACTGTGTCTATTGATGTAGTTTTATGTACGTATATTGCCAAGTCTTCCACAATTAGGGTGACTTTATATTGTTTATTAGAGTAAATACTAAGTTTTTACTATTGGATACCATGGATAAACAGGCGTTAATGGCCAAATAATCCGACAGATACCTTACTTTGATTATTTGATTATAAGTGCTATCAGATATGTCTGCTTTTAGTTTTCCCAAAGTTTAGTTTAATTGGGTGTAGTATTTCATGAAATAGGGGAAGTTCTTCTGCTTTGTTCGTATGGTACAGTTGTTTTAGTCATTTTTAGTCATATTAACTGTTTTTATTACCCTAAATTTTCAGTATTCTAAGTACAGTTGTTTTATTCATTTTTAGTTATGTTGACAGGTTTTATGACCCTAACTTTTGCTCTGCTTAAGCTATGCACTCGATATCACAGGAAAATAGTTGCACGAGTGCACTGTGTCTGCTGATTTAATTCCATGTCCGTATCTGCTTAAGCTATGCACTTGTTCTCACAGGAAAATAGTTGCACGAGTGCACTGTGTCTGATGATGTAGTTTCATGTGCACATCGCCATGTCTTCCACAGTTAAATTGATTTTATATTGTTACTTAATCAGAGTAAAAACTAAATTTTTACTATAGGATGCAGTAGACTCGTGCAACTATTTTGCTGTAAGAGCAGTTATATAGCTAAAGTAGAACAAAGTTAGGGTCTGAAAATCTGTTAATATGACTGAAAACGCCTAGAACAATATATACAATCACACATGACAGCCACAATCTTTCACGTTATGACAAATATCTTCTAACGTTGTGAATAACGTTGCAACTAAATATTGTCACAACTAAATTAATGCTATAAACATTGCCATTGGAGCACAATTGACCCATTACACGTAAACGTACGATAATACGCCCTGAAACGTCCGGAGTTTTTTATTTTACTCCAAGGCCTAGCGCTAGACGATTTTATGTGTTTCAGATGTTAACGGGTTAACTTGACCATCTGCAAACCCTACTCCAACATTAGTTATCACATTAATTAAACGGGAATGCGTCGTGACTTTTTAGTGTCTTTAGTAGTATTTTTATACTCTAATGTTAATGACTGACTATTTTACTCTGAACACCAGGGGCCGGTTGTTCAACGGTGGGTTAGGGACCATTAATTATTTATGACTGGGAGTGGGCTGGCCAAACAAGGAGGTGGGTCATGAGGTATTTTTGACCGAAAAAGGGGGGGGCACCTAAAAAATATTGGTTCAGAAGGGGGGTCCAGTTATTTATTATAGTGGTATTATAGTGGAGAGAAATTTGACCTGTAACGATTATTGCTACCACAGGGAGCGAGCAAGGCAGCAAATTTAATTCATGTATAGCTAGCAAAATTCTCAATTTTAATCAACAGATAGACCCAAAAAGCAATGCACAAATACCCACAATGCAATGCGCGCACCTAATATGTAAAATAATCGAACATCTACCTTATAACTTTTGTCATGAACTTGCCATAAATTTTTGTCATATTTCAATTATGTACATTTTAATAAAAAAGGCAGTCACTATAATTAACGAGTAAGCGATGTAGCAACATTACGTCCAGGGAAAGTTTGGCATATACTATATACACTAGTTTATACTAGGTATTTTATACATGGTTTAATTTAGTAAGGCATTTGTCGGTTAACCGTGTCAAGTCCGAGTCAAATCCGAGCCCGAGTCAAATCCGAGCCCGAGTCACTAGCTGTTTAACAGTCTTTGTAGTTCATTGACGTCAAGTACCCTAACCTCCTAACCGATTTTACTTGTCAACGGGGAAGCTCTGTTAGGCATGTCCCGATTGTGCTCGGCAACTTTTGGGCAACCTTTTTTGCGTTTGGAGCAACTTTTTTTGGCTCGAGCAATTGCAACTTCAAGCAACTTTTTCCTTTTTGAGCAACTTTTTACTACACTCTTAGTAGCGAAAAATAGTATGACCCCCAGCTATAGCCTCTTCGGCGTTCTGCAGCTTAATGGTTAACCAAAAAATCGGACAATGTCTCTAGTTAACCCATTGCGACCCAGTGCACCCTATTTATTTTTTTACTTGTTTATTAACGCCAGACGATTTTACTCGTCAATTGGAAAGTTCTGCACTAGCTTAATGGGTTAAATAGGCATGCATATTAATTGTTGAAAGCACAAGTGCATGAAAGATCTGATGCCTTTTACAACAACTTTAATTAAATAGCTCATTTCTACACAGTACTGTACATGTATTATATTGTCGTTGGGGGGGTACTATTTTTTAGAATTCGTGTGAAGGGGGTCATTCAATTTTTTTTGTGATGCAGAGGGTGGGTCAGGACATTTTGTTTAGTTGTTAATTGAATTTTGCCAGCCCACCCCCGGTCATAAATAATGAATGGTCCCTTAGCGCTAACCCTGGGTTAAAATTTAACCTGCTGTTTTAGTTTATATATTTCTGCACGTCTGTTTATTGCAAAACTTCAGAGAAGTAAACTCTTATCGATCCAGACAAGATCTCTGAAGAAATATTTTCAAATTTATAGACAAGCTGTGAGGAAGTTTGATTTGAATTTTGCGTACGTTAACCTAGGGTTAAGCTAACCCAGCTTTGAACAACCGACCCCAGACTATTTTACTTTGAACGAAGCTATTCGCCAACTACCATATGATTTTTCCAAGGGTGGGTTGACTACAATTTTTTTGTAGTTCGCTATAACTACAGCTACTTCAAAAATATGTAGTCAGCTACAACTACTGCTACTTTTGAACAAAAGTAGTTCGCTACTGACTACAGCTACTGCTTAAAAAATGTAGCGAACTATTTCGCTATTTCGCTACTCAATATTTTTTAATTTTACTGTATTTGGAACATCTGCTATAGCTCAGGCTGTAATGTAACCTATAACAAATCGACTTACGCGAGTAAATAAGACGGCATGCACTTGCACAGTTTGAACAGTTGCACGGCATACTTTTATTCGTGCAAATTGAGTATTGATTTTAAGCAAACTGTGTCTTAATAACATTCTATTCTATTCTATCAAGTTGCTAACAATTTTAAAAAGTAGCGAATAGCGATTTGCTGTTTATATAGAGCCTGTGAGCAGGCTAACTACTTGGCTACTTTTAGGCAAAACGCTATAACTACAGCTACTGTTTTGAAAAAGTAGTCAAAAACTACTGGCTACTTGAAAATTGTAGTTCGCTACAGTAGCGAACTACAACTACTTCGCTACTACCCACCCTTGGATTTTTCTGGTTATGTTTTTCCTTTCACACGGCAAATTTCAGTGGATTTTTGGTCAAAAATGTTATCCAGCTGAAAATCTGCTGAAGTATTTGACGCCGAGTGGAAGTACCATGCTTTGGACTAATCACGTGCTTGCGCGTTTGGTATAGTAATTTGATACTATTTACACTCAGACGCTGTAGCTTTTTTCAAAAGTGGGAAGATTATTATTCAAATTTTCTTGTATATTAACTCAACAAGACTAAACAATTGTACTTGGACTTTGCTTCGAAGGTATGTTTGTTGTGTATTTACTATTCAGCAATTAATATCTATTATCTATACGAATACTTGCTCGACATGCTGTTCTGTGTCTGTGAAGGTTTGATCTGAGTTATTTAAATCTAAATCTTGAATTCATTTTTGCAGTAGATACTGAGCGAATAGTTTGTGAGTTGTTCGCGACCAACACATTTAATAAAATGCGAAAGTAGCAAGTTTTATATTTGTTAATAGGCAAATGATGGACACCAAGACGAGCATCGATCTTCAATATGACAATTTGTATTAATTTTAATAATTTAGAATTCGATAGTTGTATGCATCTGGGACGATTTTAAGAGAAACATACTTCTACTCATTTTAGCCAGGTAGTGATCCAAGACTACCTCTCTTACTGATTACTATTTCTTAGGTTAAGAGTTCAGGATTCCTATGAGGGGAGAGTTGATGAGGGTGAAGCCACTCAAGCCAGTAGGTAAACAATTAGAATACAGCACTTGCATTAGAACTGGACTACATTTCTACTAATTACTATTTGAAATTTCACAGTGTATATGTGTATAATTTTCAGTCACCATATGGGCAATGTTATTTTTGTGTGATAATGACCAATCACAAATCGGCAAACTTGAATTTGTTCCAGAACCAATGAAGTTTGAATTATAAACTACAGTACATCATGCTAAAAAAGATATGAAACATTTTACTTTGTCCGTTGTTCAAGAAAAGCTGATAAATGTCCGACTATATTTTATCTTGGCTGGACATTTGTCCTTCCAAGCAAAATAATTATTTGCAGGTCTGGTTAACTAGACACATGGGCAGATAGGCCAGTTAACCCATTAACCAGCGCTCTCCACTTGATGAGTAAAATTGTTAGGGGTGCACCGGAACTCGGTTCCGGCCGGTTAGTTCCGGCCGGAACCCCGATTTTTTAGAGTTCCGGTTCCGGCCGGAACTAGTAAAAAAAGCATGGCCGGAACCGGAACTCTGTCGTTTTCAGGGAGATAGAATATCAAACGTTTTTGTGTCTAACAAAAGTCACAGTAGGAAGAAAGTTGGACTACGCAAGGGAAATGTACACTATTAACACTTCATTATGACGTTTAACGTTTGTCAGTCTTTTTATTCTGACATTTGCGAACTCTCTACTTGATGATTTGAAGTGTCTGCTTGTCTGGCAGCGGACAAAGTAACATATGACTATATATGGCTTAATAAATTAGTTCCGGTTCCGGCCGGAACTTTTTTCCAGTTCTGGTCGGATCCGGTTCCGGCCGGAACTTAAAAAACCGGTTCCGGTGCATCCCTAAAAATTGTTTGGCGTTAGACAGAGTAAAATAATTTGGCAAGCGTTAGACAGTAAAATAATAAAGTAGGCTGCATCAGGGTGCAATGCAACTTAATGGGTTAAAGTGTGTAATGATGATTATGTCAGATTATTGAATATCAGATGTATATCTGGGTAGTAAAAATTACTATGTGGTGCACCATTTTTGTCCAAACAATGTAACAGAATACCAGAATTGATTAGTTCATGTGTACTGATTCGACCACATGCTCACTTCGTATATAGTATCAGGCCTAAAAAATACCTGTGGTTCCGGTTCATGACCAACGCTATTTTTTTCTGCCGACCCTATTATTTTTTCAACGCGATTGACTGTGCGACCCTATTTTCTCTGGGTGGTTGCGGGCTGCTCATACAGTGTGCCAAAATGGCATTTTACTTTTCACACTAATTATTGAACCAAATTGCCTAAATTTGTCCATAGGAAATACACATCTCTAGTTAATATTGATGTCGGAACTCACTGCAAATCGCCCAGCAAAAACCCACCAAACCCATGAAAATTGTGTTTCCGACCTACCGACCCTAATTTTTTTACGATATGAAACTGGAACCACAGGTATTTTTTTAAGCCTTACTAGCAATTACTTTCTGGATAATCAATAATTTTCTGCTGCTGTAATATCAACCTTATATTTTTTATTAGGGGTTGTTTTCATGAATTCATGTTCCCACCACCACTAAAATCACCACCTCACAGAATGGCAATATAATCACGATAGACCAGTAAATCTACTTCATCGCCTATATGGGGAACATTATTTTCTGGCGAGAACATGGCCGTTGAATACCAAAGTAAGGAAGGAAAAGAGTTACAGAGTTGTGGTATGCAACTTGAATGTTTAGTACTAAAGTTGACATTTATGACATTATGTGATTTATGTATCAGACAAATGTCTTGTCAAGTCAAATATTTATTTGCAGCCCCGCTGTATATATGTGAGTAAATAGGTTGGCTGGGGTGCCTTGGTGTTGGTAACAGACAAACAGTGAGGGAGTCTACCCCTTTTCATCTTCCCAGACCTGAGAGATAGATTGTTGAAGAGGATGCCATTCCTACCTAGAACATACCACACCGAAGTACTACTCATACACAGACAGGACAGTTGCTGTGTTGGTGTCACCCAGGATTCGAAACTGCAACCTTGTGTTTACAAGCCCAACGCTCCACAACTGAGCTAACTGGGTGAATCAGACACAAGGCAGCAGGTTTGATGTATTTATATACTGTACTATATGCAGTTATATATTATATTTATAATCATTCTCAATAGAACAGAATGTAAAAGGGTTTTTGTAGATGGTAATTTTGAACAAAAACTGTTTACTTACATAATATACTATAGTTACACCGAGCTGGGAGTAATTGCAAAAAATGTAACTCCGGTAGGAATCAAACTTGCAAATCTGCTGCAGTGCTTGGACCAATGAGCAACATAATACAGTTGCCAACAACTACAGTGCCGGTACATGAAACTTCATGTATATGCTAAGCCGCTAAGGTGGTGTCAGTATATTATGGTATATGTCTGAGTACAGTAAATATCTTTACTCTGTGTTTGGCTTCTGCTGGCAGCACCCTAATATTTAATATACATAAACTTAATTGTGGTAAAATGTGTAAACTATATCGTTTTCATTCAAAATTTCCATCCACAAGAACTATTTAATAATAATAATAGCATACTTATGTTAGTACTAAGGCAGTAACGGTATTATATTAAAGTTTTTTGCGAGGTAAAATTAAAATTCGAGTTAATAAAATAGGTACAGAACGACTCTTTTTGCGGTAAATTTTACTCCTGAATAATGTTAAAAAAACAAATATAATTTACTTCAAAAAAGGGACTCCAGTTTTTTGTTTTACTTCGCTAAACAAAACACAAAATAACTCCTTTAAATTAACAGTATAAGATTCTTACCTCAATTCATGTTTACTCCAAAGAACAAACAAACAAACAAACACAAGAAATCTTCTCATAAAAAAAGAAGGAAGTCAAAGACAAAATACTAAAAACTTGCATAAAAAAGCATGTATAATGATGTATTTTCGTTGACTCGCCCCATTCTTTCGCTCGGAAACTACATTGCTTTACTGTAAATAGGGTGTGGCATAAATGCCATCAAATGCTACAGTTCAAAAAGCTGGAAAAAAATCCCCTAATCTCGTACATTTGTAACACTGAATTTCCAGCTATTATTATTGAATTTCCAACTGTTATTATTCAATATTATTATCATGTACCTAACTAGAAAAACATCAAAAACTCGTACAAATCGAATGTCGTTTATTGTGTCAAAACGAGGAGTCTTTAGGTCCATTGTTCCCTTGTATTCTTTACGTGACATTAGTTCTTCAATTAATCTTCTAAAAAAATCCTTATGAACTTTTAATTCAGGAGAAATGAATATTTTTCATGTTACAAAAAGGACAATTTATGTTACAAAAAGGAGTTTTTCCTTTTTGTAACATCCGATTTTACATCAAAACCGCAAATTTCTGAAAAAGTATTTCATCTAAAATTCTCAACTTCTCTGTCGCTAAATGCAACTCCTATGCGCAGCCTGTTGCCAAGTATGAAAGAAGTTGACGGAAAACTCGCAATTTTAGAAAAGTTTTACCAACATTTTTTTCATCAGTGCGTTTTGCCCATCGTTCTAGAGTAGCAAGGCTGGTAAAGGTACAACAGAAAAACTTCGACATGTTGCACAGGCAATTGCTACGAAATGAATCACGACGGATACTCAAGGGTATGTTAGAATAAACGAGGGTGGTTACAACTTCATACCCTTGCTTTGTCCGGTGAAAAAAGACAAAAAAATGAGCTTTTCTCAGACAAAATTCCCTTTTGTAACAATAGACGCTACTTTTCATAAAAATATCGCGACATATTTGTCTCAATCTTTTGCCGCTGAAATGTGTTAATATATAACCCATTTGCTGCAATATATTGCCTTACTGGAAAGACTTGTTATATTCCGAATCGAAAGGGTGCAATTGAAAAAATGTTACCAAAAGTCAAGGAGATTCATCTAAGAATGAATGAATGAATGAATGAATGAACGAACGAATGAATGAATGAATGAATGAATCTGGTAAATCGAATTCTTGCGAAAGCAAAGAGCAAAATATTATTCTACCTCGAGCAATGGAAGATTATTCAAGAATTGCTGCGAATTAGACATCATTGAGCATCAATGAACATATATTTGAATGCAGAAAATCCTCAATTTAAGATATATACAATACAAATTCCAACATGCCAAGCTTGTCCTGTGAAGATGATGTTAATGCGGCATCGTTTAATATAAAAGATCTTCGTTCTCTCGTCTCGTTTTAGTTGTTTTGGAACATCCATGCCCGGCAAAGCAATGGCAACCTAGCCATTGCATCAGGTCTTGCTATGTAAACATTTAATGATTTGGATTATTCAAACCTTTAGAAATATATTATCTTGAACCTGTTTATATGCATCTTTCTCATGACTTGTTGCTATGGCTAGCTCCGCCACTGCGGCAAAGAGCTTCGCTTTGCTTACAATAGCCATACTCGGATACAATAGCCATAACCGAATTTTGTCAATTTCTGCATCAAGAATATTGTTTGGAAGCTCGCCTTCATGTCTTTTTATATCACATGTTTTAAAGTGCTGAAAGACATCGACTCTGTTATATTATGTGCACGCAGAGTTGATTGTTTATCAGTGGTATAATAAAATTGCGGGAAATTTTGATTTTTCGCGCGGATACAAGATGCCAATTTATGATGACTTAAACTCCCAAATCCATCACAAAATGCATTTATAAAGAGCACTGTTTTTCAACTTCCATCTTAAAAACATTTCACTCTGCCATGGCCATTGCAACGAAGTAGGACTTTGGCCTTTACTACGCGTGTCCCAACCGGTATTCGCTGACACAAATGTTGGGTTTATGGACGCAAATGTCGCTTATTCTAGTCATGATTCGTCATTTGTTTTATATGACATCAAAATACTGAAAATAGATCAATTTATTTTTCGGCAGTGAACTAAATACAAAATCCAACAAAAAATGCCAACAAATGTTTTATTTGGCGAGCGTTTTTATCTTAACCAATGATTTTAGAAAGTTTTCTCATTTTATAAAGTAGATGGTTAATCATGGCTTCTGTATTTCCCGTTCATGGAAAGTGACAAGTGAGTGTATATCAAAAACAGTGTCGTTGACAAGGTCAACGATACTTGAACAACCGTCCTTTGGAAGGAAAGGATAGAAAGCGTGGGAATACGGGGGCTTTCGCATGGCGGGTTCTCCGAAATCCTGCTGCACCAAAGCACAGACGAACTGCGGGAAGGTAGCAAGTGATAAGGCAGGAATCAGGATTTCATCAGAACACCAGCGGGTAATTGTATTAAAGAATGAGTCTTGGGGTAATGCTTTGCGCGCTTGGTCGCAGCGTTTTCGGCCATTTTAGGGTGCCCGGAAAATGGCGACTTTCGTATATATTATAATATACAGAGTTGTGTGACCAAATCCGCGAATATCCGAACAATTTTCATCATAAATTTTTCATTACTCCTGAAATTTTGGGCTGTGAATATATAGCTTGACCTGCTGTTAAGGTGGCTCCCTACAATTCTAAAATTCTAAATTCAGTTCTCTAAAATTCTAGGTATTTTGAGTAATTTTCGCTTTCAACCGAATTTATATTAAACATACTTAAGACAGGGCAATATGATTGCTTTGAGCTGTGTGCACAAGCTGAGTGCTGTCCATTTATGAACAAATTAAAACAGTGTTAGTGTTGCCATGGCAACCATGACGTTTAATCTTTTGCACTTTTATTGTCTAATTTCACAATAAATTGTCAATATCTATATTTTCCTTCGGTGAATTTTTCTGAATTTTTTTTTATGATTTTGGGTCCATAAAGGAAGAACATATCAAAATTTGAAGCGAGGTTTACAAATAAGTTTTTGAGATATTCGTGAATGACGGTTACAGAAAAAGTTATTTGTAGCATTTCTTAAAACTTGGATATGTTGTACCACTCGTCTAACAAAAATACAAAGTTTTAAAAAATTCACCGAAGGAAACACGAGAAAATCATCGCTAAAATCGACATGAAAAAAATCGACTAGACATGAGCACCATCTGCGCGTGCATGTAAATTGTACTGTGTGAATGCGTGTGATTTATAATGATTTCAACTTTTTGGCTTACAATACATACGAAAACAGATCTTTCTGACTTGTTTGACATGAAAATAAAATATTAATGTTGAAAATACTAATAATAAAAACACTATTACGCATTATATTAATCCAGTGTGTCTTTACATTTGTTTTTGTTGTTAAAATTGGTGAATCGAAGTTATCGAACTACACCTACAAGTTTGAATTTTCGTATAAAGCAACTCACAACTGATTGATTTGATTTAGCAGATAAAATAATAAATGTGAATTGAATTGATTGACAGGACTTACAAAGTTTCGGCGACAGCTAAAGAGTTCATTGAAAGACAGTAAATCATTTCAGTTCGCGACACAACAAGCTGGAAATTTTGAGCATTATGAAAGACAATGCTGAACGTAAATACGTAAAAACACACTAAAAGATAGGTTAAAACTATCTAATGACATACCTACTGTTCGAATTCAGGAAAAATTAGGATTATAATGAAAAACTGGAGTTTTCTTTGCAGATAAAAACACCAAAAAATCTTCCCGTGGCTTGTTTCAATATTTGTCCGAACACGGCGATTCCACGCGCAGGTCGCGAGGATGAAGTCTGATCTATATAAATCGTATTTAAACTGAACTAACTGGAGGGAGCCATCTTAAGCATTTCATATTTATTTTAAATAAACGACAAATTGAAGTATGTCAAAATAGATAAAAGAAAATTTAAAGAAAGAAGTACATGCGATGTGGATTAGGAGAACAGAATCTATTGGATTCTCAACAAAAACACAGTTATTTTGCACCACACTTGTTTCTGAATTTTGGCGAAGACGAGCCTTTGCAATTATCAATAGAATGTCCAGGCTATGGTAAAAACTACATATTGTTATTAATGCAATTAATTTCTTTATATTTTAAAACGATTCGTTATCAACATCCCACATGATCATATATGTTTTATATTAACTTTAGATCGACCCTTGCCATATGTTCTGTCTTTAATTTAACACCTGTTGGTGAAGGCAAACCTGACCGAAATTTGTGTTTCTCACCCACTGTCCATGACGACCATGAGGCTGACAAATGACATGCGAGTGTTGAAATTACTAGGGCGCAAGAAATATAGTAGATATTAATCCTTTAGCAGTGTTTAAATGCTTTAATATATAGTAGTGCCTTGTTACATAATGCCTTGTAATGCCTTAATTGTTACATGTGTACTTCCTTGAATAACAGAATAAGGGGCTGTTTATATGGAAGCCGGGCTAGTTTGGTAACCTGGATGAATTTCTGTCGTATTTATAGATGGAGAAATCTTTATTCCGGTAGGCGACATCCCACCTCTTTCAAGCGCTACTTTTTAGTATAAAAATAAGTACACAGTGAGATCTCGCTTAATTTAACATGCTTTCTCACTAAGAGGGCCAGCCTGGTATATCTTGTATATTATCTATTTTGTTCTTTATTATTAAATTCACATGCTATTACATACAGTATATATCGTCAACATCAACATTTCTGAACCAAAATAAACATATGTCATCAACGAATACACGTCGTTTGGCTCATCTTGGCTATTTCACATAGCTGGACGTGCTCCTGTCATAAAATGGAAATCAGGGTTAATTTAATTTACTTTCCCTAACAGAGCCATCGATGTTGCACCTACATCTGCTAATCTTCTAAGAGTCTTTCCACATCTGTCAATCCTCAGTTTGGATTAAGCCATGACGACCCATCATTTGAGTGTGATAGTACAAATTTAGAATCAGATCATGATGGAAGGTAATTATTACTAGTATTCAGAATTAGTGCCTTAAGTAGCAACATCTTTTGAGTTTTGATGGCAAATCACATAATATGCAATGAGTCATCTAATAAAAAAATCCACATTTCCCCCACACTTTCCCATTCCCCCTTTGGGATGTTCTAGTACATTTTATTATTCAAAAAGGATTCCTCATTTCCTATCCTCAACTGAATTCTAACAGTTTCCTTTTTATATATACCTTTTTCCAAATATTTATTAACTTTTACACCATTTTAATGATAGTCCCTGTCGTTCAAGTGAATGTGAGAGTGGATCTGAAGATGACCAGCACATTTATGATGTTCAAGGGTAACAGATAACTATCAGATCACTTGTAACATCCTCACACATGCCATCCACTTTCTACTTTACTGATTGTGAACATTGTAAAACCTATGTGTAAAACCTCTCCATTTGGCATTTTGTACAGTACCCTAATAAACCATTTGTTTGTTAGATTTTCAAATATTGTCTGTTTTATAGATTTCCAGAAGAGTATGGCCCTTCGTCTGGAGTTACTAGCGGGGGTCGGGAAAATTACACGAGTTTACTAGACAGGAGTTTACAGGATACATTTCTTCGGCCTTTTGGAGAGGGGACATATTTCATAAGGGGACGAAATGGAGGTCTTGCAATATTAAAAAAATAATATAGTAATAAGAATTATTTTAGTAGCAAATTTTGGATTGGTAAGGCCAAGATAATATTTTAGATAATGTAAAGTACATCGTGCTCTCTTAAATCCCATGTAGACACCATCATTCGTCGGGTATAGGTGTCGTATTGCCAGCACAATACATGATTGGCACACCTTTCGGTTCCTCTTTCTAATTTCTTATACCGCCATAAAATGTACTGGCGATATGCTGCCTTTCTAAAGCTGTTTGTTGAGCAGTCTTGCTCCTCTGACATGATATCGCACCTCGCTCGGATAGCCATCACGGCATGACCAATATATTCCGGTTTGTGCACGTGTTTTGGAATGTCACATATGATGTCACATATGTGATTTTTGTGCCACACTTATTTTCCTTCTCAGTTGGCATTGCTTGACATTCTCCATATGTGCACCGTGGTGGCCTTGTCTCTGGAAGGACTGGGGTTTTTCCACCAAATTGCACTAAATTTTTGGCATAATTAAGGCTACCTTTACCATTGACAGAAGTTCAAGCAGTACCTTATCCTTCTCGCCAACTGTCAAAGTTCCAATGAATTCCAAAAAAAAATATTACGTTTCTGTGAATAATGCTTTCCAATTTTCGTATACTTCTGTGTTTGTGTTAGCCTGCATAGCGACTCTCACACGAAAGGAGACCTACTGTTTTGCTATCCCCGCCCACTTAAGCCCGTTCTCCACTAGGCGAATTTATTCGCGCGAACAGATAAAAAGTAGGAAGCGATCCTACTTTTTCGCCGCGAATTTTTTCGCCGACCAATCACGTTGCCGGATTTCGGTTTTCGCTTCGCGCGAACAAATTCGCGTAGTGGAGAACGGGCTTTAGCCTGCAGGCTACGCCACATTTGCCAAGTCGTTTTTAAGTTAATCTGTTTCGAAATCGCACAATAGATAAAAAAAATAGGTGCAAAGACTGGCACTAGCTTCAAATCGCACTTTTTAACAGGTTGCGGCTCAGGAAATATTTGGAAAATCAAATATTTATTTGTAAAAAATTTTATTTGTAAAATCATATATTTATTTGTAAAAATTTATGAAAAAAAAAATTTTCTAAACTTACTTACACTATCTACATTTAAATTCATTGCCTGCCACGACTAGCTTGGTAGACTTGCCACAAGTCGACCATGGGGGAGGGAGGGCGCGGGGGAGGGAGCGCGCGACCCGAGCGACGAAGTCGCGAGTGGTCGACTTGTGTCACTTGCAGGAATTTAAATCGCATTAAAAATTTTGGCGCGAATAATTTTGACATATTAAAAGGGTGTGTACATTTCATACAATTACTTCACTGGCGCGACAATGGGTCTACAAAAACAAAAACATTCTGTAGACTAGAATTCATATTTCTTGGTCGTCGAATGAAACAGTTCGCACCCAAGTTAAGTAAGCGCCGAAAGCTGTTCAATGTATCAATAAAAACAAGTGCATGTAAAAACTTATTGAAACTTCACAGTTGTTTGTCTATTTAAACAATGTGTGCCGTAATTATGTCGACAAGAATAGTCTGACTCAGTTCGCCAGCGATTTTCTATAAATTGAAAAGAATCAGAGAACTGTAATACAGTTACTGTCATATTAAACCAAGAAGCAGAGAGGCGGCGATTGTGATCAATTAGAAGACGTCGCTACTCGCTAGAGTTCAAAATCCAGTAAAAATACGCGTTGTTTTCTCAGCAAGCGATTTGTAATAATCAGTAATCGAGATCAAGAAACCCAAACTAAACCCGAAACTAGTGAGGAAATTTTAGAATCATCAGATGCATCTTCGGTTTTCTTCGGTGGCAGTATTTCTACACCCTGTACGTACTTTATACTCAATGTAATGTCTGTTTGTGTAATTTTACATGGCTTTTGTGTTCTACAAAATTGTAATTACATTGTTTACTCTGTTTGCCTCAATAATACACATTTGTTCAACAAAGAGCCTGAGAATATAATATTATTGTTAGACTCCTTCGATAATGACCGATAATGTAACCGTTTCGGCTTCGGCCTTCAATGTAAACAATGACATCACCGGTGGATTTTTCCACCGGTGATATTTGGCGCGCTGCAAGTGACAAAAGTCCTTTCCACCGAGGAAGTGAAGCGCGCCATAGAAGGGCCTGGAAAGGACTTTGGAAAGTCTACTAGCTTGGCTGCTTGCAGGTAATGCAACATATAATCTTTCTTTGTAAATTTTTGTAAACATTAAATTATTTATTTATTTATTTAAAACTGCTTTAATGTTCTATAGACAGTTTTTTGTGTACGTTTCAACCATACAACTTATTTTTTCTGGAGCTACAGTACCTTGAGATTTTAACATTTCTATCAGTAATAGAAATTTTTAATAGAATGTCAGAAATTCCCAGCCTAGTCCCTGGCCTTCCAAGCGCGGGCGAGTTACAGCTGTCGTGAACTTGCGGGCTTGTCAGTTTCGGAAAATATCCGAACTGGGTCGCGCTGGAAGGCCTAGCAAAATTCGAATAATCAACATGGCGGTGTATTTTCGTGAATTGGATTCTTTACTATTGTATTAAGCCCTGATTCCACGAGCGCTTTTTGTCAGCGAAATGCGAAATATTTCGCCTGTTTCTTTTGAATTGTGAGCAATCAAGTAGAAATAATTTATTCGAGTGGTCGCAATTCAAAAGAAACAGGCGAAATATTTCGCATTTCGCCGACAAAAAGCGCTCGTGGAATCAGGCCTTTAAAATGTAACGAAATGCTTTTAAAACATTATTATAAAAAAATTATATTTAAATTTTGTATTTTGTCTCGTTGATAAACCTTCCAGGACACTACTGGCACTGATAATTTGTTGGCTTTTCCACACAAAAACTGTGTTGACCGAAATGATTTGGGTTGTCTGGAAAACGCGTGCACGTACACGCGTACACGTACACGCGTGCATGGAAAACGCGTACATGGAAAACGCGTACATGGAAAACGCGTACATGGAAAACGCGTACATGGAAAACGCGTACATGGAAAACGCGTACAATGTTCATTTGTAACGTTAATTAAAACTTGGCGGTTTTATTGGAAGTTCTCTTGCAGACCTAGTGATTGTTTAACAACTTTATTGGTTAATATTTATAAATATGTACAAATACATTTGAAAATCAGTAACCAATCGGCGAAGGCGCGAACGGGACTGAAGTACCCATGCGAGGCGTCTTCCCATTAAATATAACGTTACTAGAATAACATAAATCAACATAGCACTAAATAGTAAATTATACTGTATGTAAAGCCAATCCTCAATGGCAAGAACAGTCAGGAGACAGTGTCCATGTGCACGGGAAGTTTATGTCAAAAGATGCATTGAATAAAGTCAGGTATGTTTGCATGAGTAATTGTTTAAATGATGAGATGTTGGAAAAGCCATGCACAAGAGCTGTTTTGCAAATAGTGTTCCAGAGTTTGACAATCCGGTTGTAAAAGGATGCCTGAAAAGCGTTTGTCTTACAACGTGGAGCTTTCATAACTAAAAGAATCTGGCTATGTCTGGTGCGGCCATGGTCTATTCACTATTGTGTCAATTGGGTCAATGATGGTCAGATCAGTCATGGCCTCCGTGAAGAACAACTTCACAGTGGACTACGTATTGTTTAGTACTTTCATTGTGTTCCAACACGCGTCCAGAAAAAGCAGCCGTATTTCCAACCACCTCACCCTATTATCCCATGCACATAAGATAATGCCACTTCTCCGCGATGAACATTGGAAATATATTAATCACACATTCGGAAACTTCGCAATCCAATGAAGAAACATTTAAAACTATATATGCACTGACGCTTATAGAAAATTATCTATTATTTTAAATTGTTAAGGTTTTCTTTAGCATATAGTTCATTTATCATTTATAGACCCGAAGCAAGGGGGATTCGGCGGAATATTATCCGAAGTGATGATATTTTTTTAATATTTGAAATATCATCACTGAGGGTAATGTTTCGACGAATCCCCCAAGCGGAGGGTCTATAAATGATATATTATACCGAAGGTAAAAGACACCACTAAGTTCAGAATAAACTTTAACACTTGCTGAATATTAACTATATATAAAGCGAATACAATTTTTAATTTCTTATGTATACCTGTGTTTTGACGTTTTCTCTTTAAAATATTTGAGCATGTATTCTTTGGATTATTGAAGGTAACGTACGTCTTAAAAATTTTTGGTTACAGTAAATTAAGAAATCTGTACACGCCTGTACGAAATTACAAACAACAGCTCGCGAACGCCATGTTCTTTAAGAGCGTGCATGGTATCCTTTCGTCGCGTGTGAGCGTGAGATACTATAATATCCGCCACGGTGGATCTCACGCTGCATTGCGAAATCATGAATTTGAGTGAATTTTTATTGCAATCTGTTACCTCCATATATTAAGTTTTCCCAATCTAATCTTTTTTTTGGTGGCCCCTTACTAGTAACTTCTACTTTAATTTGGCCAGGCTATACCCCCCCCCCCTCTCCAAATATGCCCTGCTGGCTATGGTGTACATTATATGTCATAAATCCCTCCTTCTCGGTGTTTATCCTCTACAAAATAAGACAGCTAGAATTTTGAAGATAGAATTAAGAGTTTCTATAAAAAACCGTACTACCAACCTCGTTCCCAGGGCTTCAGTGTGAGGGTTGCCGCACTACAGTTTAATTTGCACTGTATTGTCCACATGATTGAGATCAGTGCCTTCAGTAATCGCGTGCCATATATGGGCTCCCAGAAGGCTTAGCGGGCACACTTCGAGCGCATCGTTTGGAAATTTAGTAACGCTTGTTGATATGGCCGAGAATATGGCCAAGTTTTCTTAATATATTGAAGAAGAAAGAAGAAATACTCCAATTTTTGAACACCCACACAACAACTTTAAATGTAAGTGTTCAACTATGTCAATATTCTGAAGTTTCGTATGTAAATATGTGCCATAAATTGTTGTATAATTTCATGTATATTTTTAACCGCCGTGCCGTTGGCCGATTGTATATTTTTGTATTTGGTTTCAACAATATATTGTTATTAAAACTTTGTGATCTTGCTTTGTATTTACAGATTATAATTCCAAGCAATAAATGCTGTCATAATATGTTATTCAAGCAAGTCAAACTGTCGAAATCATGATATATAAAACGACAACAAACTGGAATATTCACTACAGGCTACAACTAGAAGGTATGAATATTGTTTATAATGTATTGACTGAGACGGTATCAATATTGACTCATTTAGCAAATATTGATATAATCTCCAAAGCAAGTTCTATGACTATGGATTTGTATGAGAGGAGAATAATTTTTCCTTTGTCTTTAATATTTATATTGTGCTATCAATAGATTCCAGACAACCTTAAATATGCATGTTGCTGAATTCCCTGAATACATTCAGGATATATGTTTTTCATAATTTTTTTCTGTGTTGGTGTCATGTACTCAGGTTGTCGTACTCACCTACATTCAAGGGCTAGTATTCCAAAGGTCGTAGGTTTGATTCCCACCATGGCCAGGCATATTTTTTTAAGCTTGCCCTGTGTGGATATATACTCAGTGAGAGTAACATCACAAACATTATGTTTTTCATATTTATACCTCTGAGGAATTCCAAGCTCAAAAATTATAGTGTACCCCTGATTGCCCTGAAGAAATATCCCAATATGCTAAGTACTATACAGACCCTAATATGGCATAATAGTAAATGAGTCATGTTCACATATCGTAAAAACAATCACTTTCAAAAGAAATCCATCCGGCGCAGAACACGAATATATGAATATCCCCCCCGCATTATCGGCCCTGGTCAAGCTACGGCCCTGGTTAAGCTACGGCCCTGGTCAAGTTGTGTGTTTATATGGAACTGAGGCAGACCAGATACCATCTGGAGTTCATTGTAGTGTTGTGCCAACTACCAAGAAGAATTCATAATCCATGTTTACTTGAAACTTTTCAGGCAGGTCAGCTCAAAGCACCTGTCTTTATTGCTAAATAAGAGCTGTTTACATTGCCCTCTGAAAATGTACTACCGTACGGAACAGATAAAATGGCATTCTTACTGAATGTACCTGTGCTTGGACAAAGGTTTGAAATGCTGTACATGTATACGGTACAGGATATCATATCCAGGCTCAGGTCTGCCGAGAGAATTTGTTGGGCCTGGGGCAAATCTTCTTTGGGGGGCCTCATGACTAGACCTTAACTAGATTGCATGTGGAGCTACTGTAAGGGGCCCTCAATTTAAAGAATGCGCTAACCAATTTAAATTAAAGGACCTATTCAATTTTAGGCTCTCAATCTCAAGTTAAGACCCTATTCCCCCTCTCGGCAGTTAGTGGATAGTAAAATAATCTTACTATCCAGTATTTTGGAAGAAACCAGCATTGACCTTTGAGATTTGTGAGCAAGGCTTTGGCAATACCCTTGTTTAGAATAAAACTCTTTGCTATGATTTCACATATATTTTGAAGTATTATAAACACCCTCACTTTATAACCAATTAAAATAATTATTTATCTTTAAAAATGAAAGTCTAAACCTTATATTATATCAACAGTATTTGGCTGGATATCTTTCAACTATACGAAATTGCTGAAATCTGGCTGGATAGCAAAACGTTTTATCTGGTGATTCAGAATTGTAACTTGATCAATGTTGGAAATTTGTGGTTGAAAAACCAGGAGAAATGTATTCCCCGGAGAAACACCCCACTATTGCCTCATCTTAAAAAGAAGTTAGAATTTTGAACAATTTTTATCATAGCTTTAGAGTTGTGTGTTATAATATTTCCCTGGCCACTACCACGAGAATGAAATTATTTATTTAATAATAATTAATATACATTAGGGATGCACCGCTTAAAGCATTTTGTCATCCAGCTGCATGAAGACCAGATATGCTGAATAGTTGGAAAATATCCTACCAGATTCTCCGGCCGCATACTGGATATAGAGTGATTATAAAATATATGTAGGATATTTAAAATGGGATATAGACTGGCTATAAAGTGATGTTGTTTATATAGAGAATAATACATGGGTGCTTGGAAATACCAGATTTATTTCGAGTGTTGAACATGATATCTCACGATTGAGCGCATCTGTTTATTATATAAAGGACAGTCTTTGAAAAGCGATAATTTTTACAGAGAAGCGATAATTGAAAAGTGATAATTTTCACATATGAGATTATCATGAATAATCTCACATGTATGATTATCACTTTTATCAGTGCTCGAAATCTCTATAAAGCACTATACTTTTTATAATAAAATACAGTATACTAATTTGAAATGATAGGAAAGAACTTCACAATCAATTAAACTTAAAATGTCTAATATACTATGTTTATTATTTACTGTAACTGAAAATGTTACTGCCAGAAAAGTTTATGCTCTTCTGGTTAATTGTTTAACCAGTCTCTTTGCCAATGCGCCTTGTTAATCAGTTAAATTGTAACGCCCCTAAAAAAGTGTTACCTATTGATAGTTTAGCCAAACTTTCTGCCTATTTAAAATCTCAAACATTTACTCTGACACGTCACCAACAAAAGTACTATTAGATTGAGTTTGTTTTATCTATAAGTTGTTTGATATTATTAAACACATAAAAGGTGCAGTGCACTCTTCATAATATCCTGTAATGCAAAATAATTATTTTTTCAAGGAAACGTGTTGGCCATGCATATTAGTTTAACGAAGGAAAGTTACAGCAAAACATTTGTCGATTGTGTGCGCTGCTATATGGTGACGTGTCCTCCTTTTTGACTGTGTCAAAGTGCCATTCAGCAAAGTCTATTGGTTTTCAAATCACCTGTACTGGTAACATGAACTTTAATTTAGATTGTAAGTCTGTGACTGATGTAAACTGTTAAAATGATTCAATTGAATCAAAATATGTATATATAGACTATAGTTTTAAACTCTAAAAATAATTATAGTTTAAATTTGTAATAAATTTATTTTTAACTGTTACTACATTGGTATAATATAATTACATTACATTACATTAAACACCAGAAAGTAAGCTTTACACTGCAAATATATTTAAACCTTGGGAAGTGTAAGTTTACTTTCGAGGTGTAACTTTACACCAATTTGGTGTCGCCACAGAGGAAAGTAGATTTACACCAAAGAGGTGCTAGATAACCTATGGCAGTGTAAGTTTACTCTCTCAGTGTAAACAAACACCAAATTGGTTTCCCCACAGAGGCAAGCGGATTTACACCAAAGCAGCGTTAAATAACCTAGGACAGTGTAAGTTTACCCTCTCAGCGTAAATAAACACCAAATTGGTGTCCCCACAGAGGCAAGCGGATTTACACCAAAGCAGCATCAAATAACCTAGAATGGTGCAAATTAACACCAAATGGGTGTTCATATAGACACAACTATTTACACTGAAGAGGTGTAAAATAACACTGAAATTAGTGTTAACTGACACCTTTTCGGTGTCCCCACAGAGGCAAGAATTTACACCGATTTTGGTGTTGCGGCAACACTCCCAGATTTACAGTGTTATTATACTATGGCGACCCCCCACGAGGAACAAAGTGTCGCCTGTACCAGCTACAGAGTTTAAAAAGAAATGGAATCATGGACATGCTAAACGTTGTCTACACAGCTACTTTCATATAGGCAATTGGCACTTTGCACAGGTTATTATAGTATGGCGACCCCCCACGAGGAACAATGTGTCGCCTAGTCAATGTAATGCCTATTTGAACTTGTCACATCCTAAAATATACGCATGAAACGCATGAATTTTTCTTGTTGTTTCATCTAAAATATATAGTTTTCTACTGCCAGAAGCGAGTAATATCATGTTACTAGCGCATAGAGATCGAGACACATGCATTGGGATTTAATTCAGTTATGTAAATATCACGTTCAAGTGTTGCTGTATATAGGTATTTTCTATAAGATGACGTCATTTGTTCTATAATTTATGAGCCTCAAACTTGCTTTTAAAACTTACAATTTAACCCGAATTTTTTTATATGACGGTTAACCAAGTATAATCTTTATCGTGGTTTGATAAAAGAACGGTAAACAGGCCATTACAACGGTAAACGGGGATAGCAGCAAGATATTATAGCTCTTCCGATCTCTAGTCATTGTTTTAAATTGGAGTCGCCGTTTACCGTTCTAATGGCCTGTTTACCGTTCTTTTATCAAACCACGATAAAGATTATACTTGGTTAACCGTCATATAAAAAATTTCGGGTTAAATTATAAGTTTTAAAAGCAAGTTTGAGGCTGATCAACTATAGAACAAATGACGTCATCTTATAAAAAATACCAATACACAGCAACACTTGAACGT